CGGGATTTGCATTATTGGCGTCCATGGTGATCCGCTTTAAGATCGAGAATGGTTGGGATGCAATGGAGATGAGCGTTATACTCAAAGGCAGCTTCGAGACATCTGGGAGGTGTATCGCAAATGACAACTGAGTTAGTGTACTTCATGACAACCTTTTGATGGAGTTTGGTGTTAGAGATTCTACTGCTATGGCAACACTATTGGACACAACGGTGTTTCATGACACTCATGATAAATCTGTGACAAGTATATCCTTGACTGCAACAAGCAATGATCGCTTGCTAGGCATGCAAATGCAAGGTGGTTATTTGCAGCTAGGGGCATCTAGGGCTCTAAAAGGAAGAGCTGAGTTCAAGACCTCCACTGTCTCGATAGGGGCTGCTGAATCAAGCTCCTCTATTAAACTGGCTGGTATTGCTAATACCACATTTAGCGTGCATGAGGTGTCCAAGAAGCTGATTGGGAAAATGGCCTTTGTGGTGAATCACAAAAGGCTAGCTCTGTCAGCATGCGTTGGTATGCCATGGTCTGCCCTTACTACAACAAAGGTTGGAGAATACTTTGACGAAGAACTTGGCATGGGATGGCCAGCTAAAGTCGTAGGAAAGGGAACATATATGCTCTAGGGAGGAGGCATATATCCTTATTCCTTTGGCATGGAGAGAAGTGTAGCTGAATGCTCCGATTCGATAGTCTCTGGAAAACAGAGATACAATGCTATCGTCATGGTTAATCATGATATCAAGTGGGATGGCGAGTGAGCAGCATGTCGGTAAAGTTGTCTGTGCGTCTCTTTGGTTCTTACATTGAGGTTTTTTCAGGCAGGTGGTTGGCACTGAGCGAGAAAGCTGGCTCTTTTGGTGTTGGAGGCGACAACGAAGAGGGTGACAGTGGTTGGAGAGAAAGTAAAAGATCACCTAAGAAAGATTTAGAGTGAGCTTTAGCTGTCCTGGAATTTTGGTTGTTTTGTAATGGCTCAAAGAACTTTTGTACCTTTCTTTGCAAACACTTGAAATGCGTGTCAAGGACAAACCTATACCGGAGAAAAGCTTTCGTCAAAGAACGCTGCATGCCTCTCTGACATCTTGTCACACAGCTTTGACTATCGGAAAGTCTCAACTTCTCCTTCCAGATAGCGTTGCCTCAAGAGGTTGAGCCCCTTGATGCCGCATAACCCAAACACTTCGAAGTCGGACTGTACGTACTGGACCATCATCTCCCCCAGGCCCGCCAAGAGCATACGATCCTCTACTTCCTGTTCACTGGCTTCAGCGATCGCAATGAGAATGTCCATCGCACTGCTTCCCACAAAGTTCCGTGCAGTCTTTGAAGAAGGATCCAGCAGTTTAACCAGGCCACCGCACCGACCCAAGACCTTCACCATGCTCGAGCTTGATCCCGCGAGAAGCATCCACAGTTGCATCCACGAGAGCGATGCACAGCGTGCTACTCACCTGCAACCCGTGCCTGGCCGAGGTGGCAGTACTCATCAGGGTGGCACCGCGTCGCTGATGTGGAAGGGCCTGCAGCCACGGCGGCATGACTGCCAAGGCCGTGGAGTTCTTCGTCTCGATGATCCACAACTACCAAATTGGCGACCACTGCTCTTGCATGGAGAATCTCCTCGGACAGAAGGATTCATTCGCAAGATGCCATTTCATGCTGCAGCGTTGGTGTGGATGACGCTGCTGGGAGCTTGTAGAACTCGAACAAAGGAGGCCAGTGATCAGGTATCTGATTTCAACCCCGAGCACGCACAGAGTTATATAGTGCTCTCCAATGTCTATGTAGAGAACTAAACAAGAACGAACAAGTTGCTTAGCTCAATAAGAAGTACCTGTCAGAGCGTCATAGGCTTGTTTGCCCATTGATGCACTGAGCAGATTCATCCAGAGGAGTGTTTCATCTTGAAATGGATCTGATTGTCTTGAGGTCCCGAATCTGCCATACAATTGCATTGGAGAAAAGGGTAGGAATTTAAAGAGGAGGAACGAAGGTTAGGCTTCTAGGGCAATGAGTATATAAACTAGGTTTTTGGGTTTATTGATACGCCCATTTCCATATTCAATTTCCATATTCTATGCACTCATATTATAGAGGTGAGGGGTAATTTTGATTATCCTTGAGAAGTGACTGGATTTGGGATTTTAGTTTAGATTTAAATTTTGCATTGTCTAAATCTCTTTTTCCTTATAATTTTTTAAATTTTTTCTCTTTTACTTTTTCCTTTTCATTCATCTTCATAGTAGAGTAACAACCTCTTCCTCTTTTAACTTTGGAGTAACAATTGGTGTAATTGTTCAATGCTATATAGTTGTAATTGAACAATCAAACTCAAATGATAGTGCCATTCATGACATATGATATAGTTCTTTTTGCTCTTGTTGCCAATTCTTGTGTCTGGTTGGAGTTCTTCCATGAGAATCCTAAAGATAATGTGTACCATTAGTTCAATCAATTTACGATGATTATCATATATCATTTTTTGGATGATGCTTAGTGTTTATATGAGTTTCCCATGTATTTCTAAGGGACAACACTGTAGTGGTATAATAGTTTAAGTGCAATCATTTATGCAGATTGGAGCATTCTCCCAGATACTTTCAAATGCATATTCAGACATATCAAAGATTGTGTTGATGCTTTTTAATAATTACATCATTTTTATTAAAGGCCATTTGAGTTAGTGATGCAATTTGGTGTTTGTTTCTGAAGTCTTTTGCTTCGTGCAGAGCCAAATATGTCAGAGTAGATCAAATTAGGAATGTTATAGTGAACATTTTGTTAAAATTTTGTAAAACTTGTGTATACACTTATTCTAGCCACTTTTGATAATATATGAGATGTTACCTCTTCCATTTTTCAATGTATGTCCTTCAGCTCCATTTCATATGGGAGATGGTCTTGTTCTAATGGAGGTTCTAGTGGATGTGGTTGTGGCCTTGATATCCATTATTGGGCATATAATAAAGTTGATCATACTTATCAATGTTGGTATTTTCTAAATTGATAACTTGTATTTCTTAAGTGGAGTTTTATGTGTAGCATTAGTAATTTTCACTCTTTATCCTATAGTGACTTATTATTACCATATGATAACCACAAAGTAGAATTTAAACTCCTCATGTGCCATATGTTATATACTATGTGTCTAAAGACAATGGAATGAAACCCAAATTTTAAAACCTTAAGCCACTGAATGAAAGAATAAAGCCAAACTCCAAAACTTACACTTAAGGAGTGAAAGAATTGGAGCACAAAACAACTCCTCATACATTCAGCCCAAAGAACAAAGAAATAGAAATATAGAATGACATTGAAACAATTTTAAAGCTTTTAACATCCAGAATCAACACATAAAATAAAGCCAAATAGAGTATAATGGTATTTTAGCATACCAGTGAAAGATAAGTGATAAATAATTAATTATTTATTGATGGCAAACATATATGAATAAGAGTCAATAAGAATGATTTACTTTGGTATGCTTATGTTTTGCCAAAGAAACCAAAGAGACCTTTGATAGCTTTGACAGCATTCTCATTGAATATAGGCTCGTCATACTTGTCAATCAACGCTTTAAATTCCGGTGATGCTCTCAAGCTCGCCAGATCTTCATCAGTTCTTATTTTCTGCAGGACATTTCTCTCTTTCAGAAAACTACCTGATTTTTCGTTTCTCACCTTATAATCCTCAAAACCAGCCTCCAGAGCCTCCCCCAGAGCTGAAAGCCCTGCTTCAACCTTGCCACAAAGAAACAGACCACTATTAGAGATGAATGAGAGCAACGAAAACATTTATCTGATGGTCACCTGGTCAAGTTTTGCGTAGCAGCACGCTACGTTGTAGCTGGCGATTGCTTCCTCAAGCCCCTCGGGCTTGGATCCAAGTACAGACTCGAATTTTGACAGTGCTTCTTGATAGGCTGATTTTCTGGATAGAAATATTCAAGTTAACAACGTCGCGATTCAAATCGGTCGTACGTACTTGTAGAGTTGAAGGCCATCCCGAAGGTCCTCTTCTCTTTGCTTCTTGAGCTGCATTTTTCGCTTGTAGTTTTGGATCTGGAATTTGTTGATAAGTTTCTAGATTCCGATGATGGGCCAAACTAAGAAATCTCACCTGGATTTCACGAAGCTGCTCACTGATGACATTCGCGTTTCTTTGCGCTGCGAGTTTCTCAGACGATACAGCCTGATCTTCTCTTTCTCCTTTCGAGATGAAAAAATCTCGGTAAGATACAGATGAGAAAAAACAAGTCATGACCGACCGTATTTTTTTTGCATCTTCATGAGAAGAGGTCCAATTCTTTGACGAACAGTGTACATTGTGCGTCCATACTCTGCCGCTGGCCAGATCTCATTCCCAAAGACAGCACTAGCATTACAAAGAAAAAGATGGTAAAAACAGAACCAAAACGATGGCATTACCTTGTCGCAAGAACTTTGTCCCCTGGCTGGAACATCTTTGTTTTCGCTGCACTCCCGCCAGGAGCAAGAGCATCGATGTATGTTCCACCATCGGTCCCTTTGTAGAATTTGATCCCATACGGCTTCTCAATCTCTACCTCATAGAATTCGTCGGGTTTGCTACCACTACTGCTACTTGTACTAGCGCTAGAATCCTTGGATTCCCCGGTGGTGACCGTCCCAATGCTAGATGAATCGGCACTACTGGCAGCTGCCAAGATCGATCCCGTGTTGCCGATTCTCTGCGGGAAGGTGAGCTTCCTCTCGAAATTCCTGGAGATGGCTATGGTGCTGCCACCGCCGTGGCTGAAGAGGCAAATGCCACAAATGCTGCTGCTGCTGCTGCTGCTGCCACTGGCGATCTTACCAGGAATCCCAGTGGCGCCACCGTGATTGAGGATGGCGCCGCCGCTCCACAGCGCTGCCCCGGCCGCCATCGCCGCTCGGAGGATGAAGAAGCGGGAGGAAATAAAAATAAAAGAGCGCCATAGCTTCGTCCACGTGGGAAGCAATGTGCGCCACTGAAATTCCTTGGACTTATTCTAGAATATACCTTACTGCGGCATATTCGATTTGGCATATTCGTTGTTTTGAATTTAAATTTTCCTATCGCGATTATCTGTTGTTACAAAACCCAGAAACAAAAAGAAAAGAATGGCAGCGCTCTACGTCGATGTGTTGGGGCGGTTGCCGGCAAGGATCAAAGAGATTTCCAGGCCCCGACTGAAAGCTTGGTTGAAGAGGAGCCGGCTCTGGAAGGTAGACACGAACGGGAACCACGAGAGAATGGCGACAGGGACGAAGATCACGGTTCCCATCCCAGCGTCGTAGAGACGAGCCAAAGAACGCATCGATTTCCACAGGCCCAGGAACTTGATGACCGGTCTCCAGGCAATAGCAATCTGGAAGAACTCACACAGGTAAGATGGTGGAAAGAACTAAGACTTTCTTTACCGAGAGGATTCCCCATCCGGTTGGAAGGAGGGCCAAGGCGGAAGCAAAGATGTCTCCCACTGTAAGCGTCGACGCGACGATAGCGGCGATTAAGCCGCCGAGGAGAAGGATGAAAATCACGCCTTGCATTAGCCGGAGAAACAACTGGATGTTTGTTGCTGTCTTCTGGCTCAAGCTGAAAATCTGGAGAAGCAATGAATGGAAGAGTTCATCGTCAATACACTGTCAAGAAGCTGGAAGAACCTCACCTTGAACAAGAGTATGAATGCCGCAAACACCACCCAAGAGACGCCATAAGCCTGGAACAAGAGAAACAGACGGTAATATGATACAAAAAGATAGTGTAAGCTTACCGTCAAGGACGTGCTAGTTCCGGTAACATGGAGCTTATAGACGACACCGTACTGGAAAATGAAGAAACGCAAGCTGAGGATTGTTTCCAAGATCCTGGATCTGAACGTGCGAATGTGCTCCTGGTATGGTACACACGAATGGTTAGATTTGCGGGAAAGCGGCTTAAACAGTTTCTTACTTGCTCTTCATCCCACCATGCTTCCCAGCTCTCTTCTCCTTTCACTCCGACTCCACCTTTATACAAAAGCCAGTTCGTCCAGTCATCGAAGTCGTCCACAGTCCTGAAGTTAAGACGAAGACAGTGGAATAATCAACCATAGAAAAATTACAGTTGTGCTTACTTTTGCCATTCGAAGCCGGACGGATTGAACAAGTAGGGAGCATACATCCACGAAATGGCCAGAAACCAACTGCTAAACGACAAGAGAAAGTAGCTGGTTCCACTTGAAACACCATAAGCCATGTATACGATCAAAAGCATAACGACTTCCAGGCTGGTCAAAGCAAGAATGAGTGCGTTTTCCACGATAAAATAATCAACGTACCCTTTTACAAAATGACTGCGAGAATAAAGCCGATAGTTTTCAGCGAATGGAATGTGCCGAACCACAAAACCTCTTCCGGTAGCCCGATACTTAACAAAAACAAAAGGACTTTTAGAGACGAGACCACATAAACGTCAACGGAAACATTAACCTTGGCACCGCCATGCAGAATTGTTCTACCAAAATAATGACTTTTCGTTCCGAGAGAAAACGTAAAGAACACGGAGCACAGTTGCAATTGCATTGTGATAAAACTGATGATTGCCTGCGATCACGTAGAGATGAGCATCGAAGCTGTTTTAAAGAGCATTACCTTAAGCACCCCCTGTTCTAATACAAGCCCCATAATCATAGGTACTGCCGTAAGAAAACCGATTTGGAAAAGAAATTGAGCATTCAGAGCACTCTCAAGGGCCGTGTTATCCAAAACGTCCGCTGTATTCCTCAAGCTCGCTTCGACACCAGATAAAGACTGCAAGAACTCCGAAAAGTTACAATTTGCACGAAACTTTAAATGTTTTTGACGCACCAGATATATTTTTCCATAGAGGAAGGCGTAAACTGTCCATACAGTAAACTGAAAGACAAAGATCAAATAGTGCTCAAAAAACCAAGTACGACCTTACCATTGTGCAAATGTAGTAACCCACAGTCGTATAAAAGAACGACAACATTCTGAAAAAATCAAAAAGCTGACCCAAACGGTATACATCCCTGCTAAGCATTTGCTCCCCGTTCCCGCTGGAGACTTTAGCCTCAAAGAGTGCAATCTGGTTGAGACCAACATCCCTTCCTTTCCCCACCTAAGATGTTTCATGGAATCAGAGTATGTTACCAATAAATGTGAACCAAACCTGGATGTACTCGTGATGTGTAATATTACCACGCCGCAGAGTTGAGTTGAAGCCTGAAAAGTTACAAGAGAATGGGACCGGAAAAAAAAAGTTGATAACAAACCTGCAAATATATCCTCACTAATGTTTATGACCCGAGAGGCTTTACTAATGCCCCCCCTTGTTATATGGAAGATTCTATCGAAAACATCTGGATGACCGTAATGCATTCTCACCCTGGATAAAAACTGTTAACACTACAAGTTCTACCAAGAGTAGACTTACTTCAGAGGCTTTGCAAGAACTCTTTGCCCCAACGTAACAAAACTAGTTTCCTGGCTTGACATAAACCAAGCCAAAGAAGATACACTGCAAGAACACATACTGGTTAGTAAAATATCCTTCAAAAACCAGTAAACAAACCTTCCAGTAAAAACATGTTCACGAACACCCAAGATCGACGGGGGACGCAAACCGTGGTTCGAGTCAAACTCTTGAAGCAGGTTTCGCATTTTAAGGGCCTCTTCGAAATAGTTGTCCTGCAAAGTAAAATGGTAAGTCTGTGAGAAAATGAATGCAAAGTAGTACCTGGTTCATATCTATGGTTTGTATTGCATCTCCACGGGTAAAAATAATCGCATGATTTTGATTTTCAGGCTTGCCTTCTCCAAGTTTTGGATTTCCCGGTAATTTGATAGTGTAGATATCCTGTAGTACCTGATTAGATTAAAGTTGAACGCATAGCGAGCGTACCTGGTCCTTGCCACTTGCATCCGTTTTGATAAGTTTAGAATAGTATTCTTTATCGATTTTCCCTTCTCTTAAAGTTTCTACAACGTCAATGTATGCAATCCTCAAGGCTTCGTTTCTGTCAAAAACAAAAGAAAAAAACGATGAATATTTTCACTATACCATTACCCAGCCTACTTCTGCATCAAGTAATTGATGTCTGTAGCTCGTTGATCTCGCTTGTGCTTTTGCTCGCCATAAATTTGACAAGTAACAACATAAGTAAATTTCAAGTCGGATTGAGCTCGAGCTCCACGAGATAGCAAGTAATCTTGGTGATTACGAGATAGTCCATCCTCCACATCTGTACGATACAGCAAACCATTCAGTTTCGTGGCGAAGGCGATTTTTTACATACCTCCTATGTCAGATTGTTCGAGGAAGCTTTGAAGTATCAATGCTCTACGGTAGTACATCATTCCTCTAACTGCACAAGGAGATTATAATCAACAGGAATATAAATATCTGTACCTGTTCGAGCAAGAGTCTGCCCTCGGTAAGATGCCCAGAGACGGAGCTCAATGAGATCAAGAGATTTGTTGTTTAATTGCCGCTCGAGCTCGGCCTCAGTGATTTTTATCCGTTCCAGGAAATTACGCCACTCATCTGCAGAAAACTAATTAGACGATGGAAAGGAGAAAGCTTCCAAATGAACCTGGAAAGATCTTTTGCAGATAGAAAAGAATGCTGATACCGTCTTCATTGTCTTTCCGAAGTTGATCTTTGCTATACATCACGTCCTCACTGTAGTAAGGTGTGAAAACGCTGAAAGTTTTTGGCCATCGTCAGTGCACTTGAGCAAGGATCTTGATCTTGAGTGATGTACCTGAACGAGAGCATTTTCTGAACTGGTAACGGTGCTGGCATATTCATAAACAAGGAGTTGGTGAAAAACTGAAGACGACGACGAGCCTCCAAATTGCGAGGAATGTTCACAGCAGACTCCTTCAGGGAGAGTAAGCTGTGAAGCCTCTTTACTTGATCTCGCTGAGACTTCAGGTCAGAAACAAAAAAAAATCTACACGCGATCACAATGAACCTCTTCGCCCTGACGAGGCCAGGATATTCTTCCAAAGAGCCTGTCTTCACGTAATGCTTGTACCAATGCTCCCCATCCCTCATATTTCTCCCTAATTTGAAAAGCGAATGAAAACTATGAAGAGAATGGAGCAACGAACCTTAGCTCAACAGATAAAAATTCACGCATCACAGTTTCGTACAAATCTTGCAACGCTTTTACAGCGGATTTGAGATTCTCTGGACTTTGATCTCGAATCTGAGAATGATAAATTTTGTCAAATTTAACAAACGCTTGTATGCATACCAGAACGGCCGTAAGCGTTGTCACTTTACCCAGTATATCATGCAACCTTTGAAGATTAAAATGTGCAACAAAGTGTCCCTCGTTGATGATACTATCAATATCTTGAAATATAGTCCTTATCCTGCAAAATGGTTTCAGCAGATAAACAAAATAAATGTCATAATTACCAAGTCTTAGCCTCATCATGCAGCAATCTTTTTAAAAGCCATTGTACGCTGTGATAGATCTCTTCAATGGCAAAATACAAGTACTCTTCTCTTCTTATCCTCTCGAGGAGCTCGTCCTGGTTGCCTTTGTGATCCTCGGCCATACCGATAGCAATATAGACCTGTTCATAGAAATCAACATTTGCCAATCATTTGAAGAAACCACCAACCTTACTAGCGAGGAGAAAAAGCGGCCACTGTACTAGAGGCAGAATGCTGTTATTTCCCGGCATCAAAAGCAAGTCTTTCTCCCTGCAGCAATAAATCACTAAATGGCGTCAAAAAGTTGACACATGCCTGTCACTAATATAGTCCTCTTCCCGAAGGCTGAGTATAAACTCATTCCAAAACGGAGCAAACTTTGCTGCATTGACTTTATTTCCAAGATCCTAAAAAAGATGCAAACTATGAGTAGTGAATAATAGCTGTCGGGCTTACATCATTTGTCAAGTTCATGCTCGGGGGAATAGTTGGAACTCTGCGAGATACGAACAAAATTACGTACGAAGTTAATAAAAATAAAGAAAACTAAAAGTTCTCACGTTTCTTTCAGTTTTGAGGAAACTAGTGTTTCTACAAAAGCTCGTGGAAAACTTTCAAAGCGTCTACGCAACATAGTAATGGAACGAATCTATTACAAAAATAGTTAGTAAGCAAAAGCTGCCACGTAAAGGAAAATTAATTAACTTACTTCTCCAAGACGGTCTTTTGCACCACTAAGGCCACCTACGAGCGCAGACAACACCGTATACCATATTTGTGTATCCAAAAAGTAAATCTACAGACATCCGTTAGAGAAAAAATGTCTCAACACAGTTTAAAGTTCTTAGTTACCAGTATTACAGGAGCCCAAAGTGAAACGAGGGTCAGAGCATTGTGATTTCCTGTCATAAAACAGCGGTTAGTGACTGTATCAACTGGAGAAAACATACCCTTTGAAACGAAATCGTGCCAGTCGTAAGTGATGGTTCTGACATCAACTATAGCTCGTGATGGTCTTACTAGCGGACGTATCTATGATATACGAAGTTAAAGGAGCCACAGAATAGAGAATTTTACCAGTAGGAAATACGCGAAGGAAAACTTTGCTCCGAGAACAACAATCCAAAAGACGAAGTATCTGTGAAATGAATAAGCACAACAAAAGTCATAACAAGCTTTGTACCTAAGGAAGTCAGCGGCTGATTCATATAGCCCACGGCCGACGTAGTAACGCTCCTACGGCACGAAGTAAGGATTCCATAGAGGAAATCAAGAAGACAAACCTGATGGACCCACTTAATGAAATGAACAAATCCTCCTTCTCCAAGGCCAGAAACGGCACGATAGCAGAAAGGCAAGCGCATGATGACACTGATAAAAAAGTGAAAGGCCGCGTAAACACCAATTATGAGAAGGTAGATTTTAAAATATGAGGAGTCTGATACACCCTGGCTCGTTTCGTTGAGAACTTGGCTGGAAAAGCAACTCGTGTTAGTTGTTAGAGGTTTATTGGTTTAGAGATAAGAATCAACTTTTAACGAAGCTTACACGTAAAGTATCGTAAGAAGAGCAGCTGACGCGCCGAAGAACAAGAATCGAAAGAGTATTCTTAGAAGAACCGATCTGCTGGTGCTTGAGTATGCTCCGTACAACAATATAACATCAAATACACCTTCACAAACCCGAGAATTTAGCAAGGAGAAACACATCATGAACGTACATTGTGCAAATTTCATCACCACATATGTGGGGCCAAGGCTGAGTAGCCTCTTTATCGTGACGAGATGAAGATTTTCGTGAAATGCGAAGATTGTCAAGGCCTATTAAATAAAAATATCAAAAGAACGGACCAAACCGGGCATTATTCAAACCTGAAGCATTAGAACCAGAAATATCCATAGACGGTGAAAGCTGTGATACATATGTATAAATGTCCGATGTTCCACAAACAGCACTTTCCCTCCGTATCTACCTTTTCGATATTGTAGATCGGGATTAGTCTAATCAATAACAATTAGAAAATAGTAAACCCCAGAAAACGTAAAACTCACATTCCTTTTCTTCGGTTTCGGTCGCAAGAAGAATGACCCGTTTCTTTTCCATGGCCAATGAAGCTCAAAACACTTATGCGACCTACACAGGGAAAGCAAGGAAATGAAAAAATTGAAGTCAGTGGTAGAAAATGATACAGACCAGAAGTACTCATTAAAGTCGTCATAGTTTCTACTTGCAGCATGAGAAGCTTTGCCATCGTTCGTGTTCGCTGCTTCCTGAGAGCATTCTCAGAAAAACGTAAGACAACAAGAAAATGACGCAATACCGCCGAAAGCAATTCATAAATTGGTGAAACGACGCTGTGAAGGAACCCGTATTCCGAATCGTTTGTCAACATTTTTGATCTTTGTGCAAGTTGACCATCCAATATCGTGTAAAGCTCTTCAGTCATCTGAATGTAATCGCAGATAAAAATGAAGTAAAACAGAAAAACACACCGACCATGTGAAAAATGTAGCAAAGGCATTCGGGTAAAAACCTCAAGTTGGCCGCTTCGCCCCAAATAAGAAAATACAAGGATACCAAGAGCACCTTTCTTTGCCTATTGTGAGCTCTGTAGAAAATACAAATACAAAGGTAAGCAGCATGGCCTTTTATAAAACGGATAACTTGCACACCTCGCAGTGACTGGCCTTGCTCTAACAAAAGAGCACCATCTGTTGTAATTTGCCAGGGTTCTATCAAAAACACGGGTGACCGCCTCTTCATCTAATTGCTGCGTAAAAATAAATAGCTCAGCGCATCATAAATGAGCGCGAATTCATCTTACTGTATCCTTGTCGTGTAAGACCTCTAATTTTGATTGACTGTTGGCAAGCAAAAGAAGGAGATGCTCCCGTTGGTTGATTACATTGTCCGTCTATAAACACCAGAGGGAGGAACTCACGAGGAGTCACAACAGCACTAGAGTACCTGAAATCCGAAGATGAAGTGCAGCAAATCAAAAATATCGATAGGCCTGTGCTTTGGTTTGGAGTAATTTTGAGGTAGCTGAGGAAGGTCGCTAGTGTATTCCACCGCCGAAATCGCTCCCCTTACCTGTATTCCACGAGAACATTTGAAAACAAAATAAGAAAAGCAAAAGTATGTTCCACCTCTGGAAGTAATATGATTGCGTCTGCTACTCCAGGAGCCTCCAAAGGAAGAATGTTGTAAGGCTTAAATTCTTCCACTTTTGCAGCATCCGACTCCATCATTCTTTTCATCTGATATAGCGAAGTACGATTCAGAATGTGGCGTCATTTAAACAGACTTTACCTCCTCCGAGATATTGGCTGCTGCTTCTGGCGATGCCTGTGTGAGAGCCTCGAGCACCTCTTTCAAAACTCTTAAAGTTTCGAAGACCCTTTTAGATCTTTCGGTCTGGATCTTCAATCTAAGAAATTCAATGCGACTGTTTAAACCCAGACGCTACATAAAAGCACCAACTTACTCTCCCGGTTGAGCATCTATGTCCCCAGCTGCTCTCCATTGTCTTCCCTGCTCTTTTAGCTCATCAACGTTGTGCTTCTGCCGGTAGTACTTGTAGTATTCCCAAAGCAAAGAGATATCCTGACTGCGATCGATCCTTTCTCCCTCTCTTCTCGACAGTTTTTGCTGTAACTTAAACCTCTCAAAAAACCCACAAACACCAGAGAAGCAGCGTACCTTGATAACCGACTTTAGCCCCGTCTTGAACTGGAGGACTCCTCTCCCTTCGCTCTTGGGGTCCAGGTTCTGAGCTAGAGTGTAAGCATACTCACACACTGAGAAGAATTCGACCAGCCAGAAGCGCCTCATCAGCTCAGAAAGTATAGTCATGAAAATCACCACGAACTCACAGATTCTAGAGACGCTGGGATTGTCAGCTTGGATCTCGTCGGCAGCCTGTAATATTGTCTCGATGTTGGTCTCCCGCAGCAGCGATGGCGGCACCGCATCGCTGGTGGCACCGATGCCCGATCCCTCGCTCGCTAGACCTGATGTTCCTCGCAGCTGCTCGCGCCGGAGCGCTGCATCCACAAGCCTCTCCCAGTTGGAGAGCGCCTTCTGCCACGCCATTTCTCCCGACCGCCTGCCCCGATCTAGGAAAACCTAAAACATGACAAAATGCTACTCGTCTGGGCGAGCTTCTCAGCAGCTCGAGCCATTTGAAAAGATCACTGTGGAAGGGAAATCCCTGCCGTTGATTTTTGCGACCTGTACATTCCGGATAGGAAAGCGCCGGCGCGCATTGTACGCAACGCGAGATCCCAATCTCCAGCCGTCCATTGCCAGGAAGCCGTTTTAAGGAGCTCGTGGCCGTCGGATCGAGAGGTCCTCCCCTACGCGGACTCTTGACACTGACAGAAGCATCCATCCAGGTACGTTTGATGCGTTTCTCTTTTTTGCCACGCTCCCGAATTTTCCTTTTAACCATTCTTTCCACTAGTTAAGCCCGCGAATATTCCGCCACATGGAGGGAGTGTCTATTGGAAGTAAAGCTCTCTTTGAGTAGCGAGGCGGGAAAGCGAGCGCCCTAAGGGTATCCTATTTATTTCGATGATTCCTCGCCGAGTGATCGTCGAGGAGCCGGAGCGATGGCCGCGAGCTCGGCGACGGATCACGCTAGCCAATTGCTCGAGGTATTTCTTCGATCGATTCAGCGGCGGGCTTAATCGTTTCGTTTTCAAGGTGGAAAACAGCGTCAAGGAGGAGCTCAAGAAAGTCAGAAAATCGATAGATGACACAAAAGATGAGGACATACTCGATTACCTGAGAGACGTTTGTAAATTCCAGGTCAGGATTTTCTTTTTGCCCAGTGACGATGGATGACAGCTCCTGTTCCAGGAAGACAATGTGAGGAATCAGCGCGAGCACATTGTCCAGTTGATTGCCAACACGTGTTCCGTTCACAAAAAAGATATCAGTTCCGCCATTCAGCACCTTGCGGCTAAGACTTTAGAGAATTACAAGAGTTGGTATACGCACTCTAAATCTTGGAGTGATGATGAGGACTCTGAACCTGATCAGCACAGGTATCTAAAACTTTTTTTCTATGGTCGCTTCACCACCTTCATTACAGTTTCAAAGGCGACGATCATCTAATGTCCTTGTGCTTGTACTTGCTGATATGGGGAGAAGCGGCGAACTTAAGATTTATGCCCGAATGCCTTTGTTTTATCTTCCACAAGGTTCTTCACCAGAGAAGTAGATCACTTGTGTTTCATTACTATTTCTTTTGCAGATGAAAACAAGTATAATTCGGCATAATGCCAAAGCCGAAAATGGGTTTCTCGAGAGCGTGATTACGCCCGTCTATTTGTTTTTGAAGAAGGATCTTCCAAATCCAAAGGAAAAAGAACGCAAACGAAGTCCCATTATTTCTCATAGAAGGGTTGCAAACTACGATGATCTGAACGAGCTATTCTGGTTGGTAATTTTCATAATTCTTTGTACCAAAGCCGTTTGTTGTTTCCAGGACCTCTCAGTGCTTGAAAGACTTCAAATGGGATCATAACAATCTAAAATTGAAAGTCCCCAGATTCGAGAAATGGCAGCACAAGCAAAAAGTCGAAGAGAAACAGCGACACAAGAAAAAAGTCGAAGAGAAATGGCCACACAAGAAAAAAGTCAATTTTATCGAGCATCGCACTTTTCTTCATATTTTCCATAGCTTTCACAGGCTTTGGATTTTCTTCACAATCATGCTGCAGGTTGGTGCCACTTTGGTGTATTGAACTTGTAATCTGGTAATGTCCACAGGCCCTGCTTATAATTGCGTTCACTCAAAGCCTTAAGCTCAAATACCTTTTACTTTTTGGTCCTACTCACGCCTTCTTGATGTTTTTCCAGTGTAAGCCAGAAGCCTTTGGCTTTTATTAAGATCTTACACTTCGTGTGCAGCCACTCTCGACATCGTCTTTACCTATGGTGCTTATGTAAAGCACAATGTGAGGATTGCTCTCCAGTTTCTTTTCTACGGTGTTGCAACAGGGATCCAAACCTTTCTTTCTATGTAAGGAATGTTTCTGATACGTTTTCTTACCCCTCGTTTCCAGCAAGAGCTTTCAAGAAAATGAACCTGAAACTTCTGTCGACTATTTTAAGATTTACGAGTATGTGGCGTCATTTTATCTCGTAGCGCATTTGGCTCATGCAATCGGCCACTCCCTCTTGAGCTTTTTTCCCACTGATAAAGGGAAATCTGTTACATGGCTCAAATGGATATTCAAGGTTTGTAATTTGCTTTTGGTAAGCTCTAAGGAAGTGTATAACAGGAAAGGTACTTTATCGGGAGTGGCATGCAAGTAAGACCATTGGATTTCCTTAAGTATGTATAATGTCTATTCTAGTCCTCCTTTCTATGTCAATTCGTGGTGTCAGGTACGCGTCCTTTTGGATAGTTCTGCTCGCTGCCAAGTTTTTTGTTAGCTATAAGACACAAGTGAGAAGTTTCAAGGTTTTTTTTATTTACGCCACAATTACTTATCGAATTGCCTTCAGATAGTACCTTTGGTTAAGCCAACGCGCTCTATTATCATGATGAGAGATGCGAATTATGTTTGGCACGACTTTATTTCCAAGAGTATGAGCATGTACGTCCTGTTCCAAGCTTAATTTTCTCTTGATTCTTCGACAGACCATTACAACATTCTCACCGTTGCCGCCTTGTGGACACCAGTAGTTCTGGAAAGTATATGATTTCATACTTTGATGAAGGTACTAAAATTGGCATCGCAGATTTATTTCCTTGACACGCAGATTTGGTATGTCGTATTTTCCGCTATTCTTGGCTGCCTAACTGGTGGTATCGCCCACCTTGGAGAGGTAATGCCAGGTTTTAAATGGTACCAGCTAACTATGAAAGTGATTTTCTCTTCAGATGAGGTCAATGTATATGTTTGCCAAGCAGTTTCGCGAGATGCCAAAACATTTTGAAAAACGATTAGTTCAGGGTTCTGGAGAACCTGTTTTTTACAAGTGCTGGAATGAGCTGATCAGTAAATTGCGAGAGGAAGACTACTTAAGTGACAAGTAAAGTTCTCACAATTCTATCACTTCTTTTTTTCATGGCCTGTTTGTGTTCCAGTGAGAAAGAGCTGTTCGTAATGCCGCCACCAAAAAACTTTACAATTGGAAACGATGCGGTTAACGTTAACAGGTGGCCTCTTTTTATTGTAGTCAATGAGGTAACCTCTTTAGGAATCAGTAAACTCGTTTTTGATATGATCTTCTTGTGGAATAAGGTGCAACTTGCTGTGTCATTGTCTGCTAGAAAAGACCATAACGAGCTTTTAAGAAGGCTCAGCAAAGAAGGCTATCTCCGAGATGCTATCGAAGAAATATTCTTCACCGTTGGAGAAATCCTTGACCGGCTTGGCGTGTGGTAATGTTAGCTCCATATTGGAACTTGGCCCTCAATTGCCTATATAGGACGAACGAGTTGAAAAAAAATGACTTCTATAACTTGGAACATGCCATATACAACAAGAAAGCTACCGATCTGCTTAAAATGTGGATACTGATAACGAGTCGTATGGTTCAAGATCTGCTGGATGACAAGATTCTCCACGTAAACTGGAAAGTGAGTGAAATTTCTTGCGTTAGAAAGCAGTCCCTGATACTTATCTTGCAGGATCAGGAGCTGAACACTTTGAGTGTGGAAAAGCTTCGACTTGAGAAAATGCTAAACGGGACAACAAATGTCTTAGACGTTCCTAGAAACGGAGAAGCCCGACGCCGGCTTCTATTCTTTGGCAACTCGTTGCTCATGAAAATGCCAAAGCCTCCATCGGTTGATCGAATGCTATCTTTCAGGTGCTTTTTACAGGCGTGTTCTCTTCAAAAAAAATTTAATATTCTTCTGCTTGCAGCGTTTTGACACCATATCTGAATGAGGAAGTTGTATATAGCACAAAGGACCTTCATAAGGAAAACAAAGATGGGATTACCACGCTATATTATCTCCAGCGTGTCTACCCAGGTATGTGAGCTGAATTATAGATAGCATGCTAGCATAGTGTTGCAGACGAATGGAAGAATTTTAACGAAAGGATGGAGAAGAAAAGCCTTTCCGAGCACGACAAGAGCGTCGAAATCGGACTTTGGGCTTCATATCGTAGCCAGACGTTGGCAAGGACGGGTAATTGCACATTCAATCACTTTGATTGTTGATTTGTGCAGTATCTTTCGTATGCAGTTCGAGGAATGATGTATTATTATGATGCCTTGAAGTTTCAACGTACCGGGGGCGACGGTGATGAGTTAATAGGTTGGTTAATCGACGATTTTCTTTTGGCAGCTACTTAAACTTGGATTGCACAGATTTCGTGGCTGCGCGAAAGTTCACGTATATTGTAGCTGCTCAAAGATACAGCGAATTTAAAAAAAGCAAAGACACTAACATAAAAAAAAAAGCAACTGACATCGAACTTTTGATGAACAAGTAAGTATTCAGCTGGACTTTAATATCCATGATTTTGTGAACTAACATGAATTCTGTGATACAGGCATCCACTTTTAAGAGTGGCATATATCGACGAGGACGATGGGACGTATTCATCCAAGCTTGCAATGCTTGATGGGAAAGATATACAAGTAATACTTGATTGTCGCTTCTTTCTTATTTTTATTTATTTTTTTCTTTTTAGACAATATACAGCATTAAGCTTCCCGGTGATTTTCTCATCGGCGAGGGAAAGCCGGAAAACCAAAACCATGCCATCATCTTTACCCGTGGAGAAGCATTGCAAACAATTGACATGAATCAAGTGACCTATGCAATAACTTAATCTTTACCGTTTTGATAATTGTTTCCGTCTAGGACAATTACTTTGAGGAGGCTTTGAAAATGCGAAACTTACTTGAGGAATTCCGCCCTCCCGACAAGAAACCGGACAGACAAGTGCCGACCATCTTGGGTGTCCGAGAGCATGTATTTACTGGAAGGTACTAAATCAAACTCGCACTTGGAAAATTGATCTTATTTTCGCTTGCAGTGTTTCATCGCTAGCGTGGTTCATGTCCAATCAGGAAACCACCTTTGTTACTCTCTCCCAACGAGTCATGGCAAATCCATTGAAGTAAGTCCTGCTTTACATTTCCCAACCTTCTACAATACTGTATGCAGGATACGAATGCACTACGGGCATCCAGATGTGTTTGATCGGATCTTTCACATAACCAGGGGTGGGATCAGCAAAGCCTCGAGAACCATCAACTTGAGTGAAGACATCTTTGCTGGTAAGTCACACCTCTGCTCGGTGTGAACTAATCGAGCGCAAATGTAGGATACAATTCTACACTCAGAGGTGGCATGGTGACCCATCACGAATATATTCAAGTTGGTAAAGGTCGGGACCTGGGGCTGAATCAAATATCAGCATTTGAGGCCAAAGTCTCGAGCGGAAATGGCGAGCAGATCCTCAGCAGGGACGTCTACCGCTTGGCACGATTCTTTGATTTCTGGAGAATGCTGTCGTTTTACTATACATCTGTTGGGTTCTATATATCTACAGCGGTAAGCATGAATTCAAATCATTGTAAACTTGGACTTTTTTCTTTTTTCTTTTTTCTTTTTCTACAGATGATAGTCGTGGCACTTTATGCATACTTGTATGGGAAAGTTTACATGGTAGTCCTAAACTTCCCAACTTCACGTAATAGTTCTGTGTCTTCTTGTGAAGGTTCTGTCGGGGGTGGAAAAAGATATGCTGACAAAGGCTAGGATAGAAGGCAACAACGCACTGGAATCAGTGCTTGCAACGCAAGCGATTTTTCAGTATGGGTTCTTAAACTGCGCTCCCATGGTCACGGGCTACATTTTGGAGCAAGGCTTTATCAAGGTGATGTTTTCCAAGTTTACAAGGAATGTCTCACAAGCTCAGTTTTTATTCACTTTCAGGCTCTACAGTACTTCATTCTCATGTGGCTCCTGGGCTCGTTTATTTTCTTTGCTTTCTCGTTGGCCACAAGAACACACTACTTTGGTAGGACGATACTCCATGGAGGTGCAATGGCAAGTGAAGAAAGAATTAACTTCGAAGCTCCTCTAAACCATGGATGTTGTGTGTCAGTATCGCAGCACTGGGCGTGGATTTGTCATTGAGCACGTCCATTTTGCTGAGAACTATCGCTTCTACTCGCGCAGCCATTTTGTCAAAGGGTAAGTCTTTTATGTCCTCGTTCGAAGCTAATCCCCGTGTAGTTTGGAGATAGCAATGCTGTTGTTCGTCTACGTGGTATATGGAGCACAACGGACAAGAAAAGGATACGTTCTACTGGCTCTGGACATCGGTTTCCTTGCCATATGCTGGCTCTACGCCCCGTTTTTCTTCAATCCACTCAGCTTTGAGTGGCAAAAGTAAGTTAGTCTGATGGCGTTGTTTGCACGAATGATAAATTCTTCTTTTCCAGGACTGTGGACGACATAACCAACTGGAATAACTGGCTTACAAACAAGAGCCATTCCGCCCCGGATTACGAGAGCTGGGCCACCTGGTGGGAAAAACAGGTAGAAGAAAAGTTATCCAACTTGAAAACTACTAGTTTCGTGTTTCTCTTGTTCTTTCTGCTAGACGGATTTGAGGGGCTTCCGAGCTAGAGCCGTGGAATGCATCCTGAGCTTACGCTTCTTCCTTATCCAGTTTGGAGTGGCTTATCACCTCAGGTCGGGTGTCGGAACAATCTCTCTGCTGGTAAAAGCTGTGTTTTCGTCTTTAAAAGCATGCACAAACAAGAGAGCTTGTGCTGTCAGGTGTACGCAAGTTCATGGGTGTTGTTCGTTTGCATAGGCTTGCTAGTGGCGGTAAGCTCCAAACCCAGCCAGCTCTCACGCTAATCAAACGTTTTTCTCTTTTGTAGTTCCTGTCACTCAGCCCAAGGAGCAGTAACAAGCTCCGCTTTGTTCACTTCCTTGCATTCATAGTTCTTCTCGCTGCCTTCATCACCGGATGCGTCTTCACGCTGAGGCTCCAAGTCCTGGATGTTATAGCGAGCATCCTAGCTCTCATTCCCACCGGCTGGGGGATTCTCAGCGTAAGCTTTGTGTAGCTTCCTTCCAATCCATTATCACCTCCAACTCTTTCTTCACAGATTGGCATAGCTTGCAAGCCATGGCTCAGGAAGGCGAGGCTGTGGTGGCTCATGTCCGTCTGGGCCTGGAGCTACGACGTCGGCATGGGCTACGTGATCTTCGCTCCCATCATCTTCCTCTCGTGGTTCCCATTTATCTCTCCACTCCACACGCGCATTCTCTTCAACCAAGCTTTTAGCCGCGGGCTCGAGATATCTGTCCTACTGTCAACCCCCATAACCACCACAACAGAAGAAACCATCGGAAGAAGACAGAAGGAACCATCGGAAGAAGACAGAAGAAGAAGCTTGAACATACATACTGGGAATTTATGATATTACAATGGACCTTTTGAGGCTTTCACTGTGGCAGCTATCCGGCAATAATATCCTGTCAAAACTATATGGCTATTAGCACGAACAATGCTAACAAGCCATCCACACTCACTTGGATGATGGTAGAGCTCCTTTTCTTTTCATAATCTTTGGTCGCCGGCTATCTTTGTTCCTTTTTCCTGTACAATAGCAGCGCTACTAGCCGGGTGTCCCCCAACTGTTATAGAGTCGCTTTATTCCAGGACGAATCGCTCGTATTTTCACCAGGGCAGAAGTTTGTATCTGTAAGGAACAGCTTTAGCGAAAAGAAGAGCAATAAAGTTAAAGTCGGCACACCTTTGGGCAGTTCCGAAGGTCTAAAGTCTCCAGCAAACTGCAATCTCTTATGGCTTCTTCCAGCTCGCCTTCCTCGATTCCAGATGCCTACAAGCGAGGAGGTGAGATGAAAAGAGCTTTTTTTTTTGGGCGTAAGAAAACTAAGTACCTGCAAACACAGGCTCACGAGCTTGGGACAATCCAGTTTAAGATCCATGAGCGACAGGCAGTTACTAAAAGAACAAAGTGTTAGAGGGCAAAGGTGATAGGCGAATGCGATCCACATACCTCAAGTTCAAAGCTATCAAGTTCGTGCACGCCAGTCGTACCTCCTTTATGTTGGTGGACAAGGAGAGGTTCAGAATCGAAAGATGGAGGCAACCAGCCGATGACGGAATGAAAACTCTCTTGATGTTGGGGCACCCGACGCAGTTCAAAGTCTGCAAGCACCTCTCCGCTGAAACTTCCATTGGCTGTTCTTCACGGTCAGCATCGTGCATATGGGTATCCTCCTCGGTGCTTGCAGACGGCCACTCGATGTCAAACACGTTGGAGCAGCCATTGAGACTGACGTGTTTGAGGTGGGGACATTCCGACAGCAGCCCGTCGATTGCATTCCGGTCAAGGCTCCCATACGAAAGATCGAGTTCTTGCAGATCCGGAAGTAGTTTTCCACCATGCAAGGCGACCAAAGCGTCGTTGGCGAGGTATTTACACGCAGAGAGCCTCAAGACCTGGACAAAAAAAAATTAACACCCAACAATTTTCCGAAGATAATCACTAACCTCCAACTGAGGACATGCTTCGTAGATGGGAGACAAGTCGGTCAAAAATGTGTAAGAGAGGTCCAAAACTGTTAAGCCTGGCAACTGCTTCAAGGCTAGCAAACCACTTGGTCCCACGGAAGGGCATGACGCCAGAACAAGGGACTGTATAAGCGAGCATGCATTGCTCGTGGCCGCAAGACAGTCATCTCCTAGTTGGCTGCACAGTACAGCATCAGTAACAACCAAGTAACGTACGTGTTATCAGATCAAACCTGCAGTACGAAGCATCTAAAGACAGGAGAGACGGGCAAATGATTTCCGCCTGGCGAAGAATTCCACACCCCCTGAGATCAAGAGCCACCATCTGATCCGCTCTGATCACAAGTGTTTTCAGGTGGGGACAGATTCCAAGATTTAAGGATCTCAATCCGACCTGCCACAACACAGTCGCATCTAAGTCATCAATTACCCAACCAAGAAAACATACCGGTTTTAAGCTTGCCCGACTGAGATGGTCACATCCATCTAACAGCAAGCGTTGAAGCTCTGGACACTGAAGATCGATAGAGGAAACTGTTCGGCAGCCAGCAAGAGATAAATAAAGTAACGATGAGCTCGATAACCTTATAGCCGTTAGACCCTGCACAGCGTACTCATGTGCACTTGCCATTTCGCGAAACAGAAAGGACATACCTCACAGCTGTCGAGGATAAGTGATCTCAATCGCGGGCATCCGCCCCCATTACTGAAGACTTCGCATAAAGAGTTCGAAAGCGAGTCACAGTCTGTCAAGTCGACCTCGTGCAAGGATGGGCATTGCAAAAGTATGGTCGCCAGGTTTTGTTGTTGATTTAGAACTAGCTTCTGTTAGAAAATGTATATAGAATGTAAGTAATTTATAAACAATTAGCCGACACTTTACCTGAAGGCTACTCGAACTTATATCAATTCTGTTGAGCATTGGACACTTTGTGACATCGATCGATGTCAGAGCTGGCGAACGAAGAGCAAGCTCTGAAAACCTGATCCAAGTGAAAGATGCCAAAAAGTGAGAGGGACCATAAAACAAAAGAGCACTTACTTCCGACAGTTTGTCAAACTGATCTTCTTTAGGCGCGGTAAGTCTAGCGATACCGTCGTCAGCAACCAGCAAAAATCAAGAAGAAGTTCCTGCAAGAGAAGGACTAAAGTTAACAGGGTGCAAAGTCCATCCTTGGCTTACTTCGAGCATGTAACAATGAGAGATGGCCGTCATAGACGAGGAATTGATTCCTTCGCAATTGACAAGAGTCAAAGAAACGAGCACTGGCATCCGAACACCCTGCAAATCGGGCTCAGAATTCAATCCGCAAACTTACAACTATCATGCTTACTTCAAGAGAAATGTTAGGACAATTTGAAGCATCAAGGGACCTCAAGTTTGAGCACGCAATAGCAATCTCTCGCAGAGTTTCATCACTGACATAAGAGCAATGAGATATATCCAGCTCCGACAAAAGAGGACAGGTTGTCGCTGCTGCTCTCACTCCAGTATCAGAAAGCTTATGGCATGACGATATATCAAGACGCAAGAGTCGAGGACAGTGAAGCATTACAGCAGCTGTGCCTGTGCGTCTTAGAGACAACCCTTGCAAATGTGAACCTCTGCAAACGAGACATAAGGTTACGGACCAAGAACTTGAACATTTAGCAATGTACCTACCGGACATGAACTCGTAAAACTCGGCATTTTACAATATCGAGTTTTAGCAAGTGGTCATGACGGATCTGTATCTCTTGAGAAGCTCCACTGCCTAAGACTGCGTCTGAAATACTCAAAGTTCTCAAACTAGCGCATTCGGCCGATAAAGCGTGAAAGAACGGATCACCATATAACCCCTCTCCCAAGCTAAGAACCTGCAATGCTCTGAAATTCAAAGAAAAAACAGGGATGAGTGCATGAAAAAGTAATCACTTGAATTACTCGTCACCTGAGGCTCCGGATTGCGTCAAGCGCAAGTAGATCCTCCACAATTTTACATTTCAGGTTTAGCTCGATTGCGTTGGGATACCTTTGGCATAAGTTTCTCACTGCAGGAGATTTTGTAAGAAACAATTGCAACAATGATGCGGTCACCTTGCTTCGGAGTCACCCGTCGGCCTTCAAAATTCAAAATCTTCCAAAAGTCCTCGTGCGCACTTGCGACACGCCATTGCCGACAAACTATTGCCGCACGACACAAAGAGACGTCGTCCAGATAAGAGAAAACCTGCACAGTTTCAACAGGTATTCTAGCTCCACATCAATAAACAACCGGTACCTTGTGAAGCAAATCATCTGTGAGATCCATCCTAGCCTCTCCAGCAAAAGGTTCTTCTGGCTCCACCTCCCGGGGCGCGATGGGAACGATTTTCTCTTCCTCCTCTGCGATAGACATCTCCCTGCGAAGCTCCTGGATCTGTAGCTCAAAAGCCTGCGTCTCTCGAGTCTTCCTACGCCTGCAGTGGTGTCATAAAAAATCCAAAAGGAATTTATGGAAGGTAAAACCACCAAGACTTACGCAGCAAAAGTAACAAGCTTCGTCCTCTTGGAAAGCTTGTGTAGCTGGGACTTGTTAGCTCCCGGAGGCGCTAGCAAAAAACACTGCTGCTCGGTCTCAGGAGTATCCTCTTCCATGATCCTCAGTGCCTCGGCCTGATTGCGAAGCCCCCGCCCAAGCTCCGAGATAATCTCCGCCGCGATCCTGGAACCATCTACATCCCCAAACCCAAACCCCAGAGACAGGGAATCCGAGCAAGCCTTCAACGCAGCACTGCTCTGGTACCCCCTGAGTGATTCGCCAGCGCCAGCGGCAGTGGAGCTCGTTCCAATGTCCTCACTGCCGCTAATGCCGCTGGAGCTGCGAGCTAGACCTTTCCCTCTCAGGATCCGGCGCTCCTGTTGTTCCAACTCGGGCATGGAGGAATGGGGCTCATTCTCCAGCCCTCTCGCCGCCCACTCGTCGCCGCCGTTGTTGCTGCTGCTGCTGCTGCTGCTGTTGCCGCTGCTGCTGCCGGAAATCTCCTCCATTTCGAGCGCGCATTCCTGGTAATCCACGCGATGCGCCGGCGCCGTGCTCTCGGGCTCGCACGCTTACCTCGATTGTGAGCTCCACTCGCACGCACAAACCCTAATTTTATTTCAGACCTAGGCCAAAACTCTCTCCAGCTCACTGCGATAATAAAAGGGGTAAAATAACTGCAATGCATTTTTATCTTTCCTCCTGCCGTACATATATTTCTTTATCCATTGGACAAAATGCAAAGGTTAATTCTGATAGACATATTTGCCCTAAACCTGGCACACGAAACACGTGCTTGGATACGCCATATCTCCCCCTGCTCGTATTCCCTTTCTCCAGTAAAAAGTCAAATAAAAGGTATGTACGTTTTTCAAGGTCTGGTTTAAACTACGCTTATTGGCTCCGAAGTGGGGGCAAGCTTCTCCAGATTAGGCGGGGCCACTAAGTTGGCGGAGCCGAGGCTTAGCCTCGTCAGGTCCTCCGGTCCTTCCTCCAGTGCTAAGGTTTTAGCAGGGGTTTTGGGCTTAGGCCCCGCTAACTTATCCGCCGCTGGATTTGGCGATGTGGATATACACAGCCACTGTCGCGGATTTTCCACGGAGGATGACGAAATGCTCTCCTCCTGGGGCGCGAGCGGTGGAAGATGCCTTTGGAATCTGGGAGATTCCCTTGGATCCGAGCTCGTTGCATCGTCCATTGCCTGCTTGCCACGAAGATTTCTCCGGGGATTACAATCCGCCTGTCCTTGTTCCAAGGTCAGTGGAAGAACAAGTGGATGCTTCTTCTTACCTCTGGGGAGATGTCAAACAAGCTGGAGCGGCGCTTGCGCTTGGTGAGATTGCTCTGGCGGATGAAATACTTCTGCGCGTGGCTCGCGACCTGCGTCGGCGTCCTGCTCGTCACGTAATTCCTCGAGATCCCCCGCCAATCTCCTTTCCCCAGGGCGTGGAGACCCACCAAGAACAGCCGGTGTTCTTCCTCCCTCCACGGAACACCTGGAAAATTTCCAGAGAGATTCAGCCAATTGCGATGTGGACGACGTGAATTGAGGAGGATTGGAAGCGACCCAAGCCGAGAGATCGCGAGAATGGGCGAGAATTGGGCTGCAATTTACCTTTCTTCCTCGCTCTCGCGTAGCTCGACGCCTGGACGAGCCCATCCGAGGCGTAGCCATCGCCGCCCGACTCAGATTGCTCCGACGCGACCGCGGAGCTGCTCGTCGGCGTCGCGATTGCTTGCATTGTCACCAAATTCCCCGCGCTGGCGCTCCTCCGCATCGCTACGCCGCTCGCGCCGTCCGTGGCCTTCATCGTGAGCCTCACGCCAAACAACCGGATGCCGCGATCCGGACACGTCCTCGAGTTGTGGCCATTGTGGCCACAATGCGAGCACCTCCGCGCCATCCTGATCGATTGCCAGTTCTTCCCACACAAGAGAAACTTCTCCACAAATCTGGAATCTTAACCGCGGAGAGTGTGAGGGGAAAAAGAAGAAGAAGAATGACCCAATGCCCTCGCTGCAATGGCCAAGCACGCAGGTAGATCTGGGGCCGGTTAGCTGACAAGGCACCGACCATGATCCGACGGTCCAGATTCATCGTCAATTCCTCCGCGGAAATGTTCTATCTCTGTGAAAATGTAGCCTAAAATCTCAGGGTTTCCATCCTCGCGATGGAGGACGAGGTGATCTTGGAGCTCCGCGACAGCGATTGCGACGAGGGAGGAGCTGCGATTCACGTTGCGGCGATGGAGAGGGGGGATTGGATTCCGCTGCTTCTCGCGAGGAAGTGCAAGGTTTTCTTGCGTGCGTCCAGGGTCATGTACGTTTGCGAGTCGAGATATTCGCTCCTGCTAACGTAGGGTCTACAGGTTATCGGAGCGATCCAGCTATTTTCGATCGCTCTTCAGCAATTTCAGGTTCTTGTCTATCGCTCGACTCGGGATTTCGGTTATCCTTTTCGTTTTCAGGGAGGCCCATAGTGATCACGTTGTTGTGACTTGGAATTTGGAAGTTCTAGCCAACATTTTGCAAGGAATTCTATTCGAGCGCCTCGACGTAGCTCCTTGCAGCGTCGCAGACTTGCTTGAGGTAAAAACCATCGCAAGTATAGCTTCTTCTTTTCATCTCTTTGCTCTTTGCATGCAGGGCGCCACATTTTTTGGCTGCGATTCTATTATTTCTGAGTGTCAAGTTTGGATTGCTTCTGACATGCTCTCGTGTTCTCGAGACAACCAAGATGTTTTGCAGTACGTTCCTCGTCTCTGGAAAGTTGCCACTGAAACAGGTTTGTTTCTTAGTATCTGAAATCACAAGGAAACCTGTGGTATGCATTCAGGAGTCCCTACTATTGCCAGTGCTTGCGCGCGCTACCTCGCAATCAACTTTGTAAGTAAACCCTTTAACTTTGTTTGCTCTCTTTATAGAAGTAACTTGGTCCAGCGGCAGTGACTTCAGGAAGATGCGGGCTCTGGTGAATTCCTCGAAAACATTCCACTTTTACTTTTTCAAGCTGCTGTAAACCATCCATTTCTCACCATATCCAGGTGCGGTTGTTTACAAAGCTATGTCTTGTGGCCAACAACAATCTCTTTTACAGCGAGAGAAACCTTTTCCAGGCTATCTTACGCAGGTGTAGCTTTGAAACAAGGGATTGCGCACTCGAGCTAATAAGCAAGGTTGCACATTATATACCTTCTGTATGAACTCATTTCTAAAATCATTTACCGAGACAGGTCAGAATGCATTGGGTGCCGGTGGACTTTCTAGCAGGTCGGTGGATCCATAATACGTGTCTTTTCTTCTTTCTTACACTTCTCTACCTATCCAGCTCAGTCGGATAACTCATTATTGAACTCCCACAATCGTGACCTTCCTTTGGAACCTCCTGAAATAAAATCCGCGGGCCTTCGGCTTTCTCAATACACAAAGGTCAGATATTTGTTTTTGTGCTTTCTTGTGATTTATTTTATTCTTTTCTTGATAGATTTTGGATCTTACTGGATGCCAGCAAGTTACAGACGTGATATTGTTCGACTCGGTTCTTTGTTCGCCTATAAATGTTGAAGGAGAGTACATACTGCATTCATTCCTGAACAGTTCTTCTCGATATTCAAACTCTTCTGCATCTGGTCCGTTCCTCAATCACCTGGTCAGCCTGTATCCTCTTCAAGAAGAGAGAACGCAATTTGAGCTAATGCAACTTCCAAGCGTATCAGAAGAAGTTAACAAACCAGATAGATCCGGTATTCCACTTTTGAACAGCCTTCGAGTTTTGCTTCTCGGTAAGTGCTGGAGAGTAAGACCAGAGGAGCTATTTCTATGGATAAAGACGACGTGCTCAAGCCTGCAACAGTTGAACTTGTCGCAGTGTCCTCAATTTTCGGCTTTTTTCCTATCTCATTTGGCTTCGGCTTGCCCTTTTATTGAGGTAGCGGACTTTTCTCGAGATTTAAGCGTTATCCACCTTGCGACCGTGAAGAAGCCTTGTACTGGAAAACTGTTGACGACTTCGTACAAGAAAGGTTCATGGGACACTCATCGTTATTTAGTCGAACTTCATCTTACGGGCCATACTGAGCTCAAAGGTCCGTCTTCTGAGTATACTCCTTTTTGCTAATTTGCTTTGCATCACAGATTCCGAGTTATCTTTGATATCGAAAAAGTGTCCAAGTATATCTGCAATCTCATTAAGTGGATGCAGTAATCTCAGTGACTCGGGCATTGCAAAGTTTTTGCAAAGCCATCCAAAACTGCGGTTGCTCCGAGCTGCTATCACCGCATTTGGATTTCAATCTGTATGTGCATTACTGGCGGCTTCTGATCAAGAATGTAACCTGGAAGTATTGGACCTTGCCTACTGTACAGGTTTGCTGATCTCTTTCATGTGTTTAACCGAAGAAAATTCAACTCACAAAACTACAGGATTGTCTGCTGGAGCTCTTGTTCGTCTGCTGACACGAATATCCAGTTTCTTAAGCCTATCGCTTTGTTACACGAACCTCATTGATGATGGCCTCTTTCTGTCTTGTGGAACCTCTCTGGAAACTTTAAATATACGAGGAACGCAGGTAAAGGATTGCCTAAGCTGTTTTTTTTCAAGAATCTCTTAAAATGCTAGCAATGCAGGTTACTGGAGCGGCTATATCATACACAATCAGAAAAAATTTTAAACTTACAAGTCTGAACTTCAGAGACTGTAGAGGAGCATTTTCGTATGAAGGTTTGAAAGAGGAAAAACTGGATCTTCGTAGGTTGAAAGCCGGGTGGGGTGTGGCACACATTCTGGCAAACGCAAAACTTCCCTTTTTACAAACACTTCACCTGGGACTCGGAGCACAGATTACCAGCACATTTCTTCGTGAGCTTCCCAGTCGTTGTCCACAGTTACAACATCTTTCTCTGTCTCTCCAGGTAAGATCAGTTGTTTGCGTTATCTATTTACTTACGGTTTTCTCCATAATTGCAGGACCTTTTAGATGACGAATTAAATCATGCAATAGCGAAGTTACCATTCTTGACTACGCTGAAACTGCGTCATACTTTGCAGCCATTGTCGGGAAAGTTTTTGGAATCTTTAACTTCCAATCTTGTCTCTCTGAAGCTTGAAGATGTTTGCCCTTCGCTTACAAATGCTCAACTTGCATCAGTTGCAACTTCTTGTAAAGGTCTGCGTCAACTGTCACTGACGGCGTGCCGTTGGCTTGATTCTGGTCTGTAAATTTTATTTTTCTTTGTACTTCCACATAACAGTTTTCTTATTGTCAACAGGTGCTCTGAGCATAATTTGTAAAGCCTGGCCTGCACTTTCTGAACTTAAGCTGGAGGTTTAAATTAACATCTAGAACCAACGTCTTAGCTGACGCTCTTTCTCTTATTTGCAGGATTGTGGCGAGGCTACAAGGGAAGGTGCCGCTGTCTTACTCTGCTTGTATGGACTCCAATCGTTGACATTACGTCATAATGTAAGATGGAAACGTTGGGAATGCCTTACTTAATTCGTTTGCTTTGAGCAGGGAGCTGGTCTGCCAAGGAACTTCATAATGGATGCTTCGTATCAGGTACTTAAATCTGGGCGGAGGTAGCTGAAAAATCTCTAAGATATTCTATTTGCAGTTCCCACTGCTGAGATGCTTATCTCTGG